TGGTCTGGGGTGCCGTTTCATTTCATAGTAGGACCCCTTTGGTTGTCATCCGTCACAACCTTACAGCACAGCGGTACGCCAACGAAGTTCTAAGGCCCGTTGTGTTGTCTTTCATGTCACGCCACCCTAGACTTACATTTCAACAAGATAATGCCCGCCCCCCCACTGCACATGTTTCCACTGCTTGCCTTGGTTCTTGCCGAACATTACCTTGGCCAGCAAGGTCGCCGGATATCTCTCCTATTGAGCACGTTTGGAGCATTATGGGCAGGGCCCTCCAACCAGCTCGGGATGTTGACGATCTAACACGTCAGTTGGACAGAATTTGGCACGATATCTCTCAGAAGGACATCCGCAACCTCTATCAATCGATGCCAAGCCAAATAACTGCTTGCATAAGGGCTAGAGCTGGACAAACGCGTTACTGACTTTTTTAACTTTTTAACTTCATTTTGGTGAAGCTCTATCGCTTCAATAAATCATCCAATTTTTCTCAAACTGTAATCATTTGTTTTTCTGTACATGCACATCACTTCTAGTGAATTTCGTCCCATTCGGATAACTCTTTCTTGGTGCGTCGTTTTTTTAGTCTAAGAGTGTATTACCCGAGGCCTTCGAACAACGTCCAGTACTGCTCTCAACATTTTAGCTGGAACTATTCCACTCTATCTCGAATCTATTCAAGAAGAAATTTATTCTACAGTATACCAACTTCGCCAGAATATTACTTATAACAAGACCACATACATAACAGAGGATTACGGAATGCGCCCTCCTCCTTACAGTAAACATCGTGCTGTACCGGACACAAAAATAAATACACCAATAAACTCTAAAGGTAAAAACAATTCAACTAAAGTATTTACAGATGGCTCAAGAATTAATAATAAAGTTGGCTGTGCAGTCTTTATTCCCAAGCAGAACTTTCTACAATCATATGTAATATTGGAAATGATTCTTAAGAGATGCAAACAGTGTTCATTAAGCTGAACTTTCTGCAATAAATATGACTATCAAATTAACGAAAGAAAATGATATTATAGAATTAAATATTAATACTGACAGTCAACCTGCCACCTATGCTATCTCTAACCCAGAAAATTAATCTTCTGTTGCGTATGACATCAATAACCTCTCTAAAATAAAATTCATATATCATAGATAAGAGGCCATAGTGGAAATACAGGTAATTAAAGAGTCGACAAACTTGCCAAAAAAGCTGTTCTTAATCAAGAAAGCAAATTTCTATACATAAAATTCTCCAAATCTTATCTTAGACTCTCCATAAAAGAACAAATTACTCACATATTTCAAGAACAATGGAATAATGCATCTACAGGATGACGTACTTACCATTTCTACCCCAAATGCAATACCAATAATACAAAATCCTTTTTAAAAACCTTTCTTTTTAACAAGTTATATTACTGGCCATGGGCCATATCCTGTTTATTTTCATCAAAGGAACTTAATAGACATTTATAATTGTATATGCGGCTAGAAAGGAGACAGTGATCACTATCTTTTCTCACGTCCTCTCACGAAAACCTTTCATATTCCGTACACCCAGAAATATTGATATATCCTTCAAAAGAATGATCATCAACTTCAGCATCTTCATTCTAATATGAAACAAATTCACGAAAAACTTAACACAACTGGATTAGATCTATGCAGAGTAACCCTATCTTCAACCAACGAAATTTAACAAAATATTTAATTTTCAGTCATTTAGAATTTCAAAGCTCAATTATCGATCTTTGATCTTACAAAGGTGAACCATGGTGCTGATTGCTGTGTCATGATAAAAATTAGATATGAATATTGTATGAGTCATGTAAAGTACATTAATATAAACCATGAAATTTTTTTTAATATGAACTCTATAATCATGAACACTTTAATGACTCAGGAACTGTGCCTAATGAATATTGAAAACTATTCGTGATCATGAACTCTAAAATACAATATTATTCTACATTTTATACTTCCATTTTATTAATTTTATTATATGATACATCATGTATTATCCTGTTTTAACATTTTATTCGAAATTATAAATTTTATTATACGATATATTATGCATTATTCTATACTTTATGTATTATTCTATATTTCATTTTCTATATTTAAGTATTATTTTAAATTTGTTATGATATATTCTATGTTTTAGCATTTTATTCCAAATTTGGAAAATTCCAAATTTTATTATATGACACATTATGTATTATTCTATATTTTGTTTTCTGATTTTTATATTAAGTATTATTCTAGTTTGTCATATGATATATTCTATGCTGGCTTAATGTAAAACTTGTTTTATTAGATTTCCCTCCTTTCTCAAAGGTACAAAATGTTCGAGATCTGGTCTCATCCGGTGGGCTACTAATTGATTCATCCATTACACAATAACCCTTCTAATGACCACTTCTTCTAGTTTTTCTTTTTCTTCTAATAACCCTTCTCCATTTTTAGTCCTCCTCTCTTAATAATAAAATTTTAAACGTCCTTCTAAAAACCTATCATCTAACCCTTCTCCCTTTTTAATCCTCCTCTCTTAATAATAAATTTCTAAACCTCCCGCTAAAGAAATATCATCAGCTTTATCTTCTTATAGTCGGTTAGTGACTGGGAGCTATACCTGTTCGATTTTAATGAAGTTTCCGGTGCTCCCAAACACTTTTACCTGTACCTGTATCTTTATCTGTTAAACAAAAGGATATAAGAATCATTCTGAGCGGCCATTTCCTTAATAGTATCTAAAAGTTACCAATATTTCTTGGAAAACGAACAAATTAAGCACATCAATGACAATTATTTTGTATAGGTGATCATATCATCGGGAGCGCAAAATTGCTTGGAATTAGAGATGGTCGATTTTGGTAAGTTTCAGAACATAATTCCTAAGAACGGAGAAAAATATGTGACTAAGAAAATGGAACAGCATTTTATATTTTCGATTTATTACTTTTAATTAAAACGGATAGATAAATATATTGTTACGGATTTTGTGTTTAGGTTGATATTTTTAGTAGAATTACAATTGAATTTGTTTTATATCCCCGTGTAATGCAGCACGAGACGTATTTTAAGAGAAAGCTACGCCGAAAAAGTAAAAATACAGCAGCACGCGCATTTAACATTTAATAAATAGATATCTCGTAATTCTACTCTTTTGCTTTCCAGAAACCTCGAGAAAACAAAAGTTACCAGAACCCTTTCGTGACTAAGCTTTAAAAAGCCGGAGAGAAACATTCAGTTGTTTTAGATAATTTGTGTTGTTTACTTAGCTGCTATTATTGTTTATCAGATTAGCTTTTCCACGCTGTGGATTGCGTTCTGTTTAACGCTTTGGTAGTTTAAAATATAGCTACTAATTATATTGCGTGATACTGTGATAGTATAAGAATATATCTGTGGATAATTCCAGCGTTTTGTTGTGATAAGAATAAATTTTATTAATCTTTTATCGGACTTATGCATTCAATCTACTACGAACCCGCACGCACGCAACAATATCATTTCGCTAAGCTAATTGCGATAAACCATTTTGATTGATTATCGTTCTTTAATTAGAAAAACTTGTATCGCGAAACGACTACGTGTATACGAACCCCTTCGGAGCTCGGTCATCCTGACGGCCGTCAGGATCAAAACAGACAAAGGAATACATAACTGACTATACATGAGTATTTTCGAAGTAACATTTCTGAGCTCTGTATTTATCAAATGATGTATGATGACACATTATTCACATGTGATGATACGTTATGGAATTAAAGTAGTAGAAGAATGTGCATGCAGCACAAGCTCCAAGCATACGCGACATAGACTCCAGCCTAGAGTGTCAGTTAAATTGTTCTCAAAAGCAACAACTAAAGAAAAGTATATTTTAATATGAATTATCAATTCATTTAATTTATACCGAAGGCCAGAAATGCCTGAAACGTACCTTTGCAATGTTGTTAAAACAATGTAGGCCTTGATAGAGATTGCGGGCCTTTAAGTTTGATACAAGAAAATAAAAAAAAATCAACTTGAAGATGATTAGACTATTGAAAGTAACACACATTTAATTAAAATTTCAAAAATATTCTTCTAACAAATAATATTAATAAAAATTGGTAGCCCCAAGCCCAATAGCTGGAAACATTTCAAGATAAAAGCAAATTTTATTGTGCAAAAAAATTTCTACCTTTTAATTAAATTGATTTTTTAGATTTTTACTTGTTAATTATTTTAACTTCTGAACTTTACAGATAAAAGGAGAATTAGTGCCCAAATCAAGTCTCGTGAGATTTTATTCAAAAAGAAACTGAGTTCGAAATGCGCCGTTTAAGAAAAGAAAACTGGACCCCGATAATTTGAGCCGTCTTCTCCGCTCTGTATGATATTGGGCCTGGATATATGCTACACTTTAAATATTAATAATTCTTTTTTAATTGTAAATCAATAAATATGTTCATATATACTTATCATATATTTAATAGTTTGATAAAACGTATAAATTGCACTGTTTTATCTTTTTGTATTAATTTAATAGACGTAAACGTAGATTATTTTTTTTTAAATTTCTCTTCCGCATGGTGCTACCATCTAGTAATCATATTTGGAAATGAATTTTTATGCGTTTTAATATTCGGTAAGAATTTACAATTGAAATCACTTATTAAACTAACGGGACATTTTTAACCTATCCCATATTTTAAAAATAGTGTATGTGATTTTATTCTTAAGAATTAATAAATGTTTTTAAAGTTTTAAATTTTAATACATGGTTTACAAGCAGTGTTTTCTGATAACATTTTAAACCAAGCTTACGTCATTTCTCACAACCTTGAAATACTTTTTTTATCGTGAATTTCTGTAAGACTGATTTGCTAATTAGATACGGCCGATGAGATTACATTTTCAGGTAAAAATGCCCATCTGAAATAGAAACTAACATCAGTGTTTCGTCAGAAAAGATAAACTATAAAAATTCAGATTTATTTCTCCAGGTTATACGTCTGCTTGGGATGAAATGGCAGAAAATGTGAATCATTCCATAATTAAAGCAAGTTTTTATCTAATTGTTTTAAATGCATAAATTTTTTCATTATTATTCTACATGCATGTTTCAAACAATTTCTGTGGGTTATACTTGATTTTTTATCATTTATTTATTTTAATTTTATCCAATATTTGCTTTGTAGGTAGCAGTCATCGGAGCCGGAGTATCTGGTTTATGTGCTGGACGTCATCTCATTTCAGAACCTGAAAAGTTTCAATTTGATATTTTCGAGCAGCAAGATAATGTTGGAGGCACATGGCGTTATTCTCCTCGAGTTGGTACGGATGAATATGGACTGTCGGTACATTCAAGCATGTACAAAAACTTGAAGTATGTTAGCAATTTATTTTCATATATTATAAATCTTAAGAATTGTTATTCTATTGTCTTTTACATGCTTCCCAAATCTTATCTGAAGCTAGTCTGTAGCATTAAATCTCAGCAACAATGGCAAGAGGAATGAGATTATATCGCAAGGCGATAGAACCAATGACTTTGTCCATAGAGTTTCTCAATATCGACTTATCTCAGCCCCTTTTCTTTCCTGTTTTATCACAGGCCACGGACCATTTTTCCAATATTTCTATCAAAGGGGAATAGCAACAACTGATCATTGTGTCTGTAATGAAGTAGGTACACCTGATCATTACGTTACGTCTTGCCCTCTCAAGAATGGCACACGAGGCTTCCTGATACTGACATTGCGTATAAACCCTTCTTCATTAAGCAATCTAAAGCCTATCTCAAGAAGCTCAAAAGCATTATGAACAAACTTGAAGCACTAGGACTAGGTTTATGCAGTCCACAATAACAGACTTCAATCTCGCAGAGATACAGAACATCAATGTATACTGGTTTCCAGTGGCCTCAGCAAGAAGCCCATCTTGAGTCAGTGCGCAGAGTAACATTAGGCTGGGAACACGAAAAACAAATGTAAAGTATGATACTATAATATTATCCAAATGTAAATAGTTTAATTATGTATATTTGTAATGAGCACATTAATGCATGGGTGCAATAATGTAAGCATGTGCATTTTATAAATAGAATATTGTACATCGTATTGTGAATATTGTATTGTATAGCACACTGTGTATAGTATCTCGGTAAAATGTGTAAGTACTCGTAGCATGCAGAGCTATGCTTTGAGCCGCAGGAAGCATAGTAACTATAACTGTAGTACTACAACTTAATGTATTCAAGAGCACAGAATGTAAATATTATAGTAGTTATGTATGTAAATATTATTGCATTCTGTCAATTTTAGTGTATTGAGTGATTTATATATAGCAGTGCGTTAATGTGCATATTATCAAATGCATAGTGCATGGCAAATACAGTATTTAATGTATCTAGCACATGTAGAGTTAACGTGATGAAAAATATTGAGCAAAGCAATTATGAATATTCATCTGTATGGAATGTATTATGCTTCATATATAAAATGCTGTGGGATGCCAAACACCTGTACATGTGATATTCACAGCAGTAAGTAATGATTGCATTTTTTTGCATTCTGTAATTTTTTTTCCTCGATGTATATTTCTAACAGTTTTGTAAAGCTTTTTGTATTAAGAGTTATGTTGTATATAGCAAAGACTTACTATCAGTGTCTATGTTATTTAATCAAGAGTAATGTTCAATGTAATATGTAGCCAATACACACAGTGCATGTTTAATTACAAAGTTATTTTTGGTATGTTTTAAGAATACAGCAAAATTTATACCACAGTTAACTTTTAACATAATGTTATTTAATCAAAAGTAATATGGGCTGTCCTGTGTCCTTAAATCTGTATTTTATATAAGTACAGCACAAAGAAAACAACGTGTATTTCTGTGTGCAAATGTGTAATTTGGTTTGTAATGGCAATTTACTCTTTATTTAGAGCTCTTAATTTATTATGGTTGTATCAAATATTATTTAAGTTTCTTATATAAGTTATTACTATTATTTAATCAAGTTTATATCTTATTTAATCAATTACATTGTTCAGAATCTCTAATTGAATTGTCAAATAATATTCAGCGTAGTATGTTGCAAAGAATATGGTTATTAAGTGGTAGTAGTATTGAGTTTAAATGTGCCTTAAGTACAGTGTAATGATCAACGCAATGGCATATTATGAAATGTTAGTGTAGCGAGTATGTTAGCAATTGTTTACATGCGATGTACCCAGGAAAATGTTTAATTCCGCATGCCGAAAACTCTATATTTTGCCCTTGTATGGCCATGTACTTTGCCCTTGTATTGTTTTCGGAGTATAGCTTCAGATAGTTGCGGGATCCGCACGATAAGCCGTCCAGGTGTCCGCACCTGCTCTCACTTGTCACCTGTCTTTTACACAGTAGTGAGAGGAAGTTGTATCTGCTTACCTGGTAGTAAATATAAGGTGTTCCCCATGCTTGATTATATTATGCCTTCTTCTATAATTTACACATTTATAGCACATCTCTATTACGGCACGCGATGGACTTTGGCTTCGGATATTACATAATTGCGGCTTAAAACTCATTTCTCAAAATAACGCATTTAATCAAAAAAAAAAAATCCATAGTCAATCTAGAGATATCTGACAAAGGAAGTGGGTTCATTCGGGCCGACGTTTTTTAAGGACAACTGCATCGTATTATGTTACGGAAGAGACAACTGAAAGAATTGAATAGGAGTTTATGATTTTCATCTATTCAGAATAGTAGACATAAGCGCATTTGCGTAAACGTTATTATAACGCTTATAAATTATACGCCCTGCTTATAAATTATGAAGGAATCTTTATTTATTAAATACTAACAACAGTTAGCAAAATTTGTAAGAATACAAAACTAATTCTAATTAAAACTGCAAGTTTATTTTGCGCATTAATTATAATTCGAAATGATATAAAATATAATCCCAAAAATTTTATTCAATATCAACTGTTCTAGTTACACGAATTTTTAAACGATTTAAAAAGGAAAAAAAGTGCTGGTTGTCAGGAATTGTACAAATTCCTATTCCTTACCAAAATATGGGACTACGTAGCCTTTAAAACGTCATTTGTTAGTTTCAGAAATAGCGCAAGTTTTCGTAAAGATCATCGATTAGGTACATTTTAAATCATGTATTTTATGTATAAAATAAACTGTGTCAGTTTACCATAAAAATAAACAAATTTGTAGTTTATTAAATCATTCAGTTGATTAAGCGATATGTGTTTTGAATTTCAAAGGTAAACAAAGGTAAAAAAAAACGGAAATTTTGCTTCAACAAATGGCAGCATTTCTATGTATCAGTAATTTATCGACCACGTCAATGATAAATGACAGGTCTGATGCCCCTCAATATCGCGAGATTAGCTTGACTACGTGAATCATGAATGCTTTGACAGAGCAACGTAACAAATAGGTCACAAATATTGAAACACAAAGCTACAAACCAATGCTCTCAATAGTTTTTGCTCCAAACGATCTTCATTATAAATCAGAATATCATTGTCAAATAAGACTTTTTGATTTAAAACGCGCAGTCCAAAAAATTTATAAAACAGAAAATTAAAAACAGTTTATTTTTATATACTATAAAGATAGAATTGGTCACAGAAGATGAAAAAATAAAAGTTTTCATAATGCGACATGTGGCAGAGTGTAATTAGAATTACTTAGTTTACGGCAAAGCACATAGGTGCTATCTGACAAAAGAGAAGGATGCCCTTTGTGATAGACGCTATAAGAGAAACTGGTTCGTATTCACGTCACACATGAAGAAAACCACAAAAACTCATGGAACCAATTCGTTCAAAGTGGTCTAAATCCTGATCAAATTATCTCAGTGTCCATCGAATTTAACATTCGGTCTGTGGCGTGTTAGTGAAATATTAGCACGGAAACACAATAAGTACTAAGAATATGGAAAATGAAAATTCTTTTCAGTCGAAGTGAAGAAATAAAGTTTAGCATTTACACGAATTGCTCTGATGAACGACCACCAGTTGCATAGCAACGACGAAGTGACTGGCCAAGACTTTGGAAGATGCAAAGCATGTCTCGAGTTCTGTAATAGCGACGCTATTTAAGGCTTCAGGAGAATCAATTTGCGTCTTTAAAATGAGATTCATCGCCAATATGCTGCATATGTTTCAGCTGATGGTCTTTCATTTGAACAATTCCTGTGAATATCAAAAATTTTTTTCGTGTAAGTATCAGTGATTAAAACGACTTTTCTTTCTCCATGTATTTTTTGTGTTTAAATTTTCATAGTTCACTGAGTATTTTATTAAGGAGCTTGTGTTTTATCATATTCTACCACTTCTTAAATTTGTGATCATTAGTTCTGTTACACCCTGTATGTAAATTTAAGAATGATTATAATGATATATGTTATTTATTTAATAAATGGTACGTATTATTCATATATTTAGTATTATATAGGTCCAGTGCCTTAAGGCAGTGGTTTCAAACTCAGCTTTAAGCCTGGCCGAATGCACAAGTTGAAAACAGCTGACAGGCTATATATTTTTTTAATAAAATGAAAGTTTTCTAATAATAAAATAAAAAGTATTTTTATTCAATTTTAAATTTCGCTTTCTAAATATTTATCAAAACGTACAAAAAAAAAAAAAAAAAAAAAAAAAAAAAGTATCGCAAAAAAAAGCAAATATAAAAAAAAAAGTAATAAGTATCGCAAAATAATAATAATAATAATAAAAAGTAATAGTATCGCAAAGAAAAATTCAAATTTGAAATTATCTTCTCTCTGAAATCTAAAGTTTGGCACCTGCAAGAGATTTTTGTTGGCTTCGTTAGGTATGTAATATTACGAGTAAATAATGAAAACTTATAATCTTTTTCTTTGACATATTAAATTTTGCTTCATCACATTATAAGGTATTTCTCCCGCCTTCTTAGCATGCCTCCATGGTGTAGGAATCAACATGCTCGGCGCGTATTCGAGAGGTCCGTGGTTCGAGTCCCGGCAAGGGCACTGCTCATTTTTCCTCTCTCATGCTTTAAAAAATACCTAATGTCTTTCTACAGTGACGCCCGAACAAAAAAGGGTTGTGGATGATGATCCTCCTCACTCAGGATTTGGTGATTGGGTCCCTTAAAAACCCCAGTCGCCCCTTAAAAGCGGCAGTATATGAGGTATTTCTCCTGCCTTTTTAGTATGCCTTCGTGGGGTAGTGGTCAGCACGCTGGAAGCGTATTCTAGAGCTCCGTGGTTCGAGACCCGGTGAGGGCATTGCTCATTTTTCATCTCTCTTGCTACAAATTATCTACAACATAAATACAAATACGTATGCTTGTCTATAAATACTTATACACTTCTTTATTTTTTATTACAGCTTGAGATTTGATGGTGTTTAGATTCTGATAAAGTTCTTAGAGAAAAATTAATAGAAATTCTCCTTATCATGGATTATATATGCTTATCGATCAAACGGGTTCTATTCTTATTAATTATCAACTTCAAAAAACGCTGTTAACATATAAATGTATTCCTAAATAAATCGATTAGCCTTAATGCAAAAATTTTTAACTGAATGCATTTATTTTTTAACAAGAACGAAAAAAGTTAATAAAAATCTGCATCTTCAAATCCTTACTAATCTTTATATCCCATTGCAATTTAAATAGCTCCATTTAGAGCCTTTTTAGTGCATTATTGACGTTTGTTTTGAATGAAAATTAAAATATTGTAAACTACGATTTCAGATAATTAAAATCTCGAAATCTTTGCAACATCGTATGTTCAACAAATTGAGTTGTATTTGCGGGCCACATAAAATTGCTTCGGGGGCCGTCAGTTTAAAACCGCCGCACGGCACTTAAAAGGACGACTGCACTACTAATATGCTCTAAAGGAATTTCCATTGGAGCAAATTTTGATCTTTCGCTCTCAGAACAAGACGAATCTATGGCCAGTTTAATTAATTTACTTATCCTGCCATTACATATTATCAGGAATCAGTAGAAGTTATTCTTTTCGGTGATTAGATTTGATTCCATTTAATATTGTGCTTTATTCTTACACAAGCTAATAAACTTTGCATGCTTTCATGATTTAACGAAAGTTTATTATCAAGATTATAAGGTGTTTATGTTAATTAACCAATTTTTATGGTTTGGATCTGCACTATCACTTCTTCTTTCTGTTAACTCTTAACCTCTTTATTTGTGTCTATATAATGGAGGTTTTCGAATTGTTTAGAAATTCAGCTTTTGGCAGAGACACTCGCAACTTTATCATCTTAATTATCAACTTTATTAACTTAACTTTTCATCTTCCAGTTCTGGCATCAGTCAGCCGAAGTCAAAAAGCGCTATAACAGTTTGAGAGCCAGCTTAGTTAAGACAAAATTTATAGTGTCTTGCTATGATCCCTTTTTAAATTGTAAAAACTTTATGTTATTTTAATATCCACAACTAGCGAAGTTTGACTGCACTCGCGTTGTGCTTTTTGTTAAATTCAATCTTAAAATAAGAAAAGTTATTTCAGCCTTCATACAGAACCAGGACAAGGATGAAGGATGAAGCAAGTGCTTGCCTCAGGTGAATGGTTAAGAGAAGCACTAAACTAGGTGCGAAATTTTATAAATACGTTTAAGAGATAAAGTTTGATTGTTAATTTGCCATAAAAATATTTTTTCACCATAGAAATGGAAGAAATGAGAGATATTTTAATCTCATGACTAAAAAGGAGATATCAAAAATTAAACGAGATAGCTTCCGATTTTTTTGCGAAATAAGCTTTTAGTTGTGAAATATTCATGTTATAAGTATTTCATAAAGAAACAGCTTTTATTTAGCTCTTAAATATCTTATATTAATAATAGCAACTGATATAAATGCCTCAGATATTGCATGAAGAATATCTAGTTTTGAAAATCGCGGTATTTTAATAAAGCAAAATCAGATCATTTAAAACAATTCAGGAATCGATCATATTTGAACTCGGAAACTGCGTTAAGAGTACTTTTAATGTTTCCAGTTACTAATGTTATCAGGACTTGTATTTCTTTTTATCTGTTTCGCGAACATTGCGTGTCCTGAATAGGAACAAGGAGCTTACTGAAGCTATGTTCAAATATGTGTGGAATGGACAACACCAGCAGGAAGGTTGACTTTACCCTCTATTCTCTATAAGATTACAGGTGCTCCCTCACTTCGGGATACAGAGACCAACTACTTGTGGTCTAAACTTAAAAATATAAAACTACTAACTAAAATTTTAAATAAGAGCTAACTTCGAATTAGTTTACAAATGACTATTACTAAGATTGGCCTTTTAAAAGATTACGTATGTAGTAAGCTAACTGCCGAAACTACAGTACGTTTTAAAATATCAAGGGGACTAAACCTCTGGCCTTAAAGGTGGACAGCAGCTGATTGAAAACTCGTGCGGAGTACAGTGGCAAGGCGGCTCACTTTCTCTCTCTCTCTCTAACACTTGGCAAAAAGCCATTACTTACATACTTGGGCGTTAGCACGTATAATTTGCATAAACGAGTTAACACATTTAATTCTGGCCAGAAGTGGAAAATAAGAAGTGATAGTAAAGTTTTAAAGTAAAATAAACGTTAGTAAAACTTAAGATCCTTACAATGTTAGGATTAAAAAAGCTTCTAGGATCTTAAAAAAATAAAATAAAAAAAAAAATCTTCTCTTGCCCCCCTTCCCCAAATCTTTTGACTATTATTAATTTCTACTTAAAATAATAATTAAATGAGCAAGTAGATTTTAATAAAGCAAGGCATATTCAATTACAAAAAAAGCTTGAATATTAATGTAATAATTTTTACGTTAACTGCAGTAGTATTTATATTATTTCGGTGTATTTTTTTATTTTATTTTTATTATTTATTTATTTATTATTTTTTATTATTTTTTTTTTTTTTTTATTTTTTTTTTTTTTTTTTGCTTATCAAAAAAGTACTTTTAAAGTTTTATTTTTAAAGTTAAAAATCATTACAGGTATTACTTTTTGACTTTATGATTAAAAATATTACAAGATTTATGATACAGTTTTATATTATTACCTTTGTTAAATATCGACGTATACAGATACATCTAATTTTGAATGTATATAAAGGCGTGCATTTACCTCTTTGCCTCAGGTGAAAAAATACGTAGGCATGGCTTTGCCTTCATAAGACTTTGTTGTCCATTTTCAAACGGAGCGATATCTCGGTTGGTAGTCTAATAGAGTTTGAAGAAATTTAAGTTAATAGGCCTTGTATACACTTATGCCCTGTATATTTTAACATAATTACATTGGGATGATATGTTTGAAAAGGAATGAATATCAGAGTACGTTTTTTAAACTTGCACTTTCACATTTGGTTATTTATTTATTCATTTCTTCAGGACGAATTTACCAAAGGAAGTTATGGCTTTTCCCGATTTTCCTTTTCCAGGTTGTGGAGGGCAGTCTTACCTGCATCATACGGCCCTTCTCCGTTATTTAGAAGAATATGCAAAGCATTACGGCCTGTACCAACATATAAAAGTAAAGTATAATAGTGTATTGATTTATCTACATGACACAAATTTTTGTCTTAAATTTAATTGCTTTCTTGTTTATTTTCTTTTTAAAGTTTCATACTCTAGTTGAAAATGTGGAACCTCTGGAACACAGTAACTGCACAGTTGAGTGGTTCGTTGACATTCGTGATGCTGCTACGAATGAAAGAGCGCGATTCGTGTATGATGCTGTAATGGTCTGCAATGGATACGTTTCCGGAACTATTATTTGTTAATCCCTTCCGTCATGCTGTATTTTTAAATGCAATTATAAATTTAAATTAATATCTAAAAATTTTTTATTAAATTAGCATCCAAAAAATTTTCAGTAAAAAAGATCCAAAGCACTTCATGCATTTTGTATAGAAGCCACTGCAGTGATTTATAAGCTTTCAAAATTACTAACTTGCGATAGGTAATTAAACAGGTAATAAGTACTGAATAGGTAACGTGAGAGGCATCCGTTGAAATCAACGTGGCAGAAACATGCGAGTGAAATTACTGTGGAGAATATAAGAGGAAATCATCGCCCAAGAAGCATCTTGAGAAAAAAAAAAAAAAAGTTAAGACAAACCAGGAGCTAATTTTGACCCGGGGTCAAATTCCAGCAAATGGACTGGCAGCATAACAGTTTTCATGTTTTACTCCATGTGTAACTTGGATACGATCCAATTTCACTTATTACGTTCTCCAGGAAGGCATGTTTTTCCTCAGCTTCTATTTTTTTCCTTCGTCATAATTAACGATTTCTCTCTTCCCGAAAAATCGCTGAACAAAATATCATGATTTTTTTTTTTAAAAGGGAATTGCGAAACATAATGAAAAAATACAAAAGGCCACATAAGTTTTCTCGTAAAAATTTTTATATTTCGTTAACCCTTAAAAATACAGAATTTTTAATACTTTGCGATTTCTTTTCCTTCACTTCTATGTTCTTGCAAAGTTTTTCTATTTTTTCATCGATATTTTAACATTGAATATTTACTTCCTTATTTTTTTGAACTTCCCTGATATTTTTTACTGCAGTATTTTCTCATCAAGTTGCTTTCTTTGCGATCCTTTCAATGGGAATCCAGAATGATATTTAAATATCAGTCTAATTTAAATATTTTAAGGGCAAAATGTTGAGCTAAATTATGGCGTTTTAAATAAAATCTTTTTTAGCTATGATAATGCGTAAATTTCACAAAAGTGTAATATAAAAGTATAAGTTCTGTTTGGCGCTACTCCCTACTTAAGTATTTAATGTACACTAATATAAGGCTATAAACACTGATACAACGCGTGCAGAATAACTTACTGTTTAAGAATTAAAAATATGCTATTTACCTCTTAAAATGTACGAAGACTTTTTTTTTTAAATTATACCCAAACCCACTGTTAATAGTTAATTTTATTCTAGATTAAGTTTCGTGTCGGTCAAATCATTCGGGCACATGCATGTTGGTACACACTTTTTTCATCTCTTATGTATTGTTGTACATGCAAAAGAACATGTTTATTTATTACAGTATTCCAATGCCTACACTTTTAATACAACTAACCTGTGTATTTTATGTATATATGTATGTGATTTATGCACAGACTAAGGAAGCCGAGGCTTCTTGTTATATTTATATAAATTTATCCAAATGTTGTATACATCAAATTTTCAAAAATTGTTGAAAATCCAGAATGGCTATTAAAGGCAAATCTTTTCAATGGATGACATTCCTATACAGATACAAGTTATATTCCACTAGAAATTTCAGTTGCAGTTTATCCCGTGAGTTTTAAAACCCATTTATTTGGTATAAGATGAGATAACTTTCTCCCAAGGAGAATAAATTTATATGATTGAACATTATTTCTCTGCGCATAACTTTAATTGCTATGCCATCTTTTCCATAGTTTTGGTAATTGATGATTAGGAAATTTTGTTTCTGACTTCCTGTATTTTTTATGTACTCAAAAGAGACGGACGGCCAACTTCATTTCTTAAGGTGAAGGCTTTCATTTTTCCAGGGGATCAGGTTACTAACCGGAAAATCATTAACTTGTTACGTTCACATTTGGCAAGGTCGTTATGAACGTTTTAATATTTTTTTCGTAAGAATGAGTTGCGAAGTAATGCTCAATCATAAAAATTCATTCTGTTTGGGAAAACTCGTCACTATCGTGCACCAAAATAATGGTCTTTAAATCTAACAACACAGCATCATTTGTCGTAAGATTGTCTTTTTCTGTCTCAACTTTATTCAGTAGTCCTGTTTTTGTTTTATGTATTTTGATTTTGCCTTATCACACCCTTTCTAAAGGATCTCGAAACAATTTAAGCAATTTTTCGAAGTAATTTTCCTGTTTTATTACGACTTGGCGCACATTCCTTTTAAGATAATAAGTTGTTCAGTTATCACTCGAAAATAATTAAGCGCTGCATTTAACGATTAATTAATTTATTATTTTATCAGATGACTCTTATTTTTTTATCTATTCTGAAAGTGAATGGAATAAAAACTGCATGTTAATAGTTAAAGATGTATCAAAAACCCATTTATAGTTATTTTTGTAAACTGAAAATGAATAGGATAGTCAAAAACTGATTTTTAGTTTAAATTTCTTGAAGATCAATGAAAATCAACTTAATCAATCTTAATCAAATATGATGCTCTCTACTCAAACGCCTCCTAAAAATGTTAGTAATACTTAATTTTCCTTATATATAATGTATGTATGGGATTTTTCCTCTTATTTTATGAGAAATAACTTTTGCACTGCATCAAAATGCGGAGGTCCTCTCTGATGATATTCGAGTTGGAGTTAGATTAAATTTAGCCAAAAAATTGAGTTCCAAGTTTTGGTAAGCTTAAGTTTTAAGAACTTCGGGAAATGCAACTTCTTTGTCTACTTTGACTGAAGTTTTCTACACAGATTATTTATATAAAAGATTTTTCTCTATAAAGAAGTCAATAAGAACGCCGAAAAACGCTTTTCAGAACGCCGAAGTTAGAATTGATGAAGAAATTCTGTATTAAATATATTTATTTGCCCTCGAAACTAATGAACTGTTTTTCATTATTTCAGTCACTATTCAGTGCCTCATATTCCGGAAATTCCTGGTCTTGACACTTTCGAAGGTCTATTGATGCACAACCATGATTATCGGGAGGAATCTAAATTTCAGAATATGAAAGTTGTTATCTTAGGAGCTGGTGTATCAGGAAACGACATCACTATCCACATTTCTAATGTAGCTAAAGAGGTAAGCAAGTGCTATTATATTTATGTAATTCGCCCTTTAAAATGTCTTAAAAGAATTATAAAAATATTTTTTTTTAAATTTAATGAATGGTAGTAATGCAAAACGTTTTCTCTCCAAATTTATTATAAAAAATTTTTTGTATTAAAAAATTCATTATGACTAGTAAAAAATATTGCAAATCAAGTTTTAAACCACTTGCATAGCTTAAAACATAGGCTAAATGGAGCCAGAGAATATAACGTATGTCTCCATCTGAAAAGGATAAGATAATTTAAATAATAGTAACGGAAAAAGAAACATTGAAATATTTTCTACAAACTTTACAAATTAGCGATATAACCTCTTTTAAGGTATAAGGCAGATGTGAGACCCTTTCATGTACTTTGTTCCACACCTGCTTCAGGCTTCATGAGTCCAACTGAATGAATGTTGTGGTTATACAATACTTCAGCTAATTATAGCTTGACTCAACTAGAGCATTAAAATAATATCAGGCTTAATCAGCGCAGGAAGTATAAACTCCTGAATTTTAATTAGACGAAGTAGAATTCGAGAGGCATTAGTTTCGTGTTCAAAAAAGGAGCTTGCTGACCATGAACAAACTCTGCGGCCAACCTATTTGTTATATCCTCAATGACACAGACTATGATTACCTGCTGAAACTATTTGGAATCTTATTTAAATTCCTCGAGATTTAACAGTTTTGAAACACACCATATCATGTATATCACTCAGGCGAACAAAGTAACATTAGAGAAAGAAAGTGTACTGAGTTAGAACGGCGTCGAAGCCCACCTCACTTTTTGAAACAAATCGTAATACTAGCAAGGACTCACCGGAGTACTAAATAAGATGAGCTCCGGCATTTCTGTTTATGAAACTAAATCACAATTTCAGTAGAAAACTCTTTTGATCTCGTAATATTTTTTTAGCAATAAGTAAGACCACTAAATCTACTATTTTAACTTTTGAATACATACCTCTAGTCCCTTGGGAAAACACACATATGAATGGAAGTTGAAATGGTCAAAGAAAGAGAAGTCACAATTCACATGTCAAAATCTTAGCCTCCCGGATGTGCAATAAATTTACGAGAGCTTGTTTAGGAACAGGTAAATTTCTCGTAGTCAGGCTGCTCGTAACATCGTTTCCGCTATTTCAATATTGGCGATTTTATTTAACCAAGACTTACAGCAGGTCAGGAAAAATGAAACCATCATTTATGTGCCTAAATTCGCTCCAAATAACTATGGACTTAACATAGTGAAATGCAAAGTTAAATGTTTCGTATACGTCAACACTAACGATTTCCCACCGAAAAGAGCACCTATTAACTCTTCGGACCGAAGTAACCAAATATGAAGGAGGAAAATGGTCACATACAGAACCTTATTCACCTTACAAATCAACTCTCGGATTCGGGGGCATTTTCTTCTTTTCACATACTCTACTTGTTAGCTGTAATTATATCGGCAGGAGGTGGTGCTTTAAGAGCTCTTGATTCATATTTCTTTATTTTTGTACTCATGGTTCTCCGTTAAAAGCCATATTATCATTTGGCTCTAAAATTTTCTTCTTTCTCATTAGTGAGTCACTGACAATTTAAATTTTTTCATTAGTATGCTGGAAAAGGATGATTTGTATTCTCGCATTCCTTGAAAAATTACATTATATTCAGTATTTAAATTAAACGGAAGGCCCTCGAGCCTGGCTCCGATATTTCTCTGTTTTTGAGGAAAACTTAGGAATTCCGGCTGGTGATGTCGCAAATGATGATGCTTTTCTTGAAACAGCCTTCAAGATATTATTTCTGATTCAGCCCCATCCATAAATATTCGGTGAACATCATTTCCATCTCAGACTTTGTTCTTCACCCTTTTGTGTAATGTAGAGGCAAATTTATTACTCTTCATTTTTAATAAAATAAACCATTGAAAGAAACATTAGTTTTTGCTCTGCTGTATGCTTAAGTTGTAACATATCGAAATGCTAAGTGGAAAGACTTGAGCCCGACCGAAAAGGCTAAATTGTTGAAAGGTTGCTCTTTGTAATTGCAGCCAGAGGAAAACTACGTTTAATCTGGGAATTTTTCAAAGAGCATTGTGCAATCTTTTAAACAAGGAAATATAATTCATGAAGACCAATAAAAAGTGCAAACTTCTGAAGGAAGCAGAAAAAAGAGAATGTCGTGAGACGTTAAATTGCTTTCTAGAGAGGTTTTAAGCTTACAAAGCTACAAAATGCTTCTATTTCTATGGCGTTTTTTTCGCTTAGTCGACAAATATTAGAAGAGAGTTTTATAACAACTGACTCGTAAGTTGGAGAAATGAAATCCAACATTCTTCACCAGGAATGACATGATGAAAATGAAGAAGCCGATCATTGCTCAGCTGAATAACTGCATAGAAAACGTTCTACTTGGGCTGCTAAATGAATACAAGCCATGCGAAACTTATAATAGACGAAACTGGACTGCGTTGCAGAACATCTCTAAAGCACGCATTAATATTTAAAAGTGAAACAGCAGTTAATTTAGAAAACTAAAAGAAGGAATTAGTTGTTGTGTTATTGATGTGCAATATGAACCTAACAATCAAGAAAATAGCATATCAGGACTTGTATTCCTCTTTACTTGCTTTGGAAACATGAACTGTCCTGACTCGGAACAGGGAGCTTACTCAAGCTATGTTCAATAATTTGTGAAGTAGACAATACACACAGGAAGGGTATACAAAACCCTTTATTTTTTTATCTTTACAGCGATTTCCGTAACTTCAGAATACAGAGACAAACCACTTGTGGTCTGAACGTAAGAATATAAAATACTAACTAAAACCCTAACTATAACTTTGGATTAATATACAAGTGCCTAAACTTCAAGATTGGCCGTTATTTAACAAAATCCGTATGTAGTACAGAGAGCTGCTAAAACTAGGATACGTTTAAAATTATCAACAGGATTAAACCTCTGGCCTTGAAGGCAACCAGCAAACCGAGTAAAACTACTATGGCAAGCGGCCTGCTTCTAATAACTCTTCCTCTCCTCTCTCTTGCTTGGCAAAAAGCACAACTTAAGTACTTGGCGTTAGCAAGACAAATTTGCATAAATAAGTTAAAGCTTTTAATTCTGGCCGGAAGTAGAAAATAAGAAGTGATAGTAAAGATTTAAAATAAAATAAACGTTAGTAAAACTTAGGATCCTTACATACTTCCCGCCAGAGTTAATTAGTTTGAAACTGAGGTCTAAAACGACCTTGTTTGAAAACTTTTAGCTCTAGAATCTAACGCGAGGCCAATCTTTTACAAACATTTCTCTCTAGAAACTAGAAATTAAAAAAAGTCGTTTTTTTACATTATCAACTCCCATGGACAAGTAATTTTCATCTGTACTGCATCTATAAACAGGAGTTTCTTAGTTGAAATCTGGTTCCTTCCAGAGATCTGGAAGGAAAACTAGTTTAATGAAATGTTACACAATCAAATGGCAAGTAACATGAATATTTATATTTCTCTTTTAAAATTCTTATTTCATTCATGACGTTATTTAATTATCTCCCCGTGCTCTCTGACATGTGTTGTAAAGAAAAACACCAAACACGAGCGTGTCTATGTACAAGTGTTCAACACTACCGCCTGCAATCAAAACACTAACGTGTTAAAATTCAACATAACAAGACCTCAGAACACACCTTATATTCATCTCTAAACCCTGAGGTACTATTCTGAAAAGTGGCTAACTCTGAAGTGTAGCGTCAGAGAGCCTAACTACATTCATTCAACCTTTAACACATATTCACAATAATTTGCTCTTTTTACAGTCACACCAATAAGTTAAAATTTTTGGCATTACTTTAATATTTTCACTTTTAACATATCACAGTATTTCTTAACTTTTAAGATAACAGTTCACATTGTATATAAGGACATATTAACATGCCGTTAATTTTACGCATTTTAAAACATACATTAGTAGTACATTGTTAACTTCTATTCTTTTCCAAGCAAGTGCCAATTCTTCTACATTGAAATACTACATTTCAAAAGTCTTTCAGACTAAAACTTCTTTCTTGCCAGAATCTTTTAAATAAAATTTTATACAATAATTTTTACAATTTTCTTAAGGTACCTTTCTCAAAGATTATCAATGCTTTTACAATATTCAAGTATTTACACATTCCTATTATACATTAATTTTAGTTTTACTCGCGAGTAATTGAAAAACATAATACCAAAATAGGTAACAACTCATTTCTCGCCTTTTTGGCGATAAAGGTAGGCCTCACATGAGGTAAAACTTCTTGAATTCTGCCACTTGCAGTAAGAATGAAAAATTAACTTAAGGTTTCAAAGTAACATAAAGTTTTACTTATCTTTGTGATATTCAGACATCCTTTTTTCTGCTGCCCAGTCCTGGAAAGTAGCGAAGACTACTACCGTCTGGTTTATCTTCCTTCTTGTGCGGGTTCGCCCTTCGGTTCCTTCCTCCATGAGCTTTCTTTTCCTTCCAGTTCGGTCACCCTTGAAGACCTTCTTTTTAGCATCTGCCTGTGGTCTCGGCCGTTTGATGGCAGCTGGTCTTGGCGGAACCGGGACAACTCTCTCTCGTTCTTGCCTGGATCTCGTTGCTGGCTGTTCAAATTTTTCTTGCTTCTTTGCATCTGCAGCTGGTCTTCCTTCATCAATTCGTCGCGACATTTGCTGCGTAGACTCCTATCCGATGGGTAGATCTTCCGTTTTGGAGCCGTGTTATAGTTGCTGTCCATTTCTCCTGGCTCTCTTTGCATTAGTCGTACTTCTCCTTCTCCCTTCTTCATTCTGGGGGTGGTCGTGCCCTCTCTTTTCTGGTCGGTGGAACGGCTTCTTTTTCTTGTTACCTTCAGTTTTCCAACGGGGGAACTTTCTTTTCAATTGCTCCTGTCTACTAATGGCTTGCCCTTGTGATTGTCGTTGTTCCACCTCTGGAGCTTGTGCCTGCCGTGCCGGATCCTGCAAAAGATCTT